GATTTGAACTGTCGTTACCACAGCACAATTCTTTACCGTTGATTTTTTTTTCAATTATTGAAGACGATTTCCAAGCTTAATCACCACTATTTGCTGACGACCTGGAAAACTAACGTTACAATTATTATGAAAGTTTATTACCCAACTACGTGTATCAGAGTTAGCTCCACCTGTCCTCACCCCTCCTGTTTCTTAATCTGTTCACCCCGCCCCTCTCCCCTCACCTCCTCAACCTTATTTCGTTCTCCTCACCCGCTTTCCCTTAACCCCATTCTTCACCCACATTTCCCATGTCCTCCCCCCCCCCTTTTTTTGAGTCAAGATTCCCTCCCTCTCAAAAAAAGAAGAAAAAAGCTATGAGGAAAGAAAAAGAACATAATAAATGAGGAAGCGAATTAAATAATTTGCTTGCAATGAGGATGGGAAGAAGAAGGAGGAGGAGGAGGAGGAGGAGGAGGAGGAGGAGGAGGAGGATGAGGAGGAGGAGGAGGATTATAGTAAGGATGATGATGATGATGATAATGATGATGATGATGATGATGATGATGATGATGATGATGATGATGATGATGATGATGATGATGATGATGATGATGATGATGATGATACATCCACAGATCGACCTCCGCTACAACAGCGTGCAGAGGCTGGCCGGGTTCAACATTGACATATCTTGGGCAGGAATCATCGTCTTCGATGTGAGTTGACTGACATTTGTGTCATGACATGGTGAAATCAGGCGCTCGTCAGTTTGGGGGCATAAGAAGTTATTAGTATAATCTTTAAGAGCGTTTATTTGTCTCGCTTTTGATTGAAACACTATCAATGTATCTTGAATGGAAGTCAAGATTATTGCGATCGAAGAAGGTAGAGATCACCTGGTGTTTGAGGTAAAATTAGAGAGAAAATGGCAGCTAATGCGTGGTGATTTTTAAAGATAGAGTGCTCTTGGTAACTGTAAATTTTATTTTTGTTTTTCTGATCAACATGTTTCAGTAAAATCCGCACACAAATATGATTTTACTGGAAATAAAGAGATGTTGAGCCAAAAAAATGAAGAAAAAATTCCTATAGATATTGCCAAACGGGTGGAAACATGTCAGTTTCTTTGGTTTCATTATATCATCTATCAAAATGCGTCCATCTTAACCATCTTGTATAAGTATACTTACGACCTTAGAGCATGCATCAAAATAACATTGAGTGTGTATCTAGCTTACGATTATTATTGTTTATATTGCTGCTCATTTATATTATGCATGTGATTGTAAGCCTACTTGTGTGAGCATGTGTGTGCACGTGTGTACGTGTGTGTGTTTGTGTGTGTGTGTGTGTGTGTGTGTGTGTGTGTGTGTGTGTGTGTATGTGTGTGTGTGTGCATGTGTGTGTGTGTGTGTGTGTGTGTGTGTGTGTACACGTGGTGGAACACCGAACCAATGTGCCAGGATCGGGACAATAAAGATGTATCTTATCTTATTTTATCTTATCTTATCTTATCTTATCTTATCTTATCTTATTATATTTTTGACGAGCGCCTGATTTCATCGCAGGGCCATGCAATTTCAAGTATCAAAGTCAGAACACAATAAAATTACCTAACGCATTTTTTGCAGGCTTCTAGTTACTGGTATGATGAAATTGCCTGCTATTTGTTATGTATCAATAATACAGCATGAGGGGTTGGTAGGTGCTCTTGTGTGGTTTGCTCCTTTTTTCCTGTCCTCATCTCTCCTCCTTCTTGTTTACGTATATTACTCTCTTGTGACACACAAACCTTGGCACTTATATAACATAATTGTGTTGTAAGTGCCGTAAAACTCTTTCTGAAACAATCAATGCAGTAAGGCCATGTTGTGTGTTATAAACATTCAATTGCTGAGACCTTAATATGTACTTTCTCTCAAGCCATTAAATTGAATAAGTCAACACCGTTTTTTTTGGTTATGTTTTGTTTTGTTTTGTTCTTCTTTGTTGTAAATTTTCACAATAAAGATTGATCTAGACAGTAATTGTGATATAATCGAGACGAACTGTAGTTTAAATTAATTTACGTGATAGAGCATTAACTAAGGTTCTGGAGTGAGATACAGTGGAATCTCCACACATAACCGAATGTGGATACTAACTAGGGCAATCCGTAGCACAGTCCATTAAAGTATAATAGCTAGTATCCGCTACGATCTGACAATCCATGATGGTGGGTGGTTGGTGGGTGCTCTAGTGTGGTTTGCTCCTTCGTTTTCCATTAAAACATTTTGTTATCCTTATCTCTCCTCCGTCAATTTTTCGTATCTCTTTAACACCTCTAATCTTCGATACTTTTATAGTGGCGCCCAAAAGAAACTTGAAAATGTAATCACCAAGTCATTGTGTTAAAGCCTCTCTATACCTACTAAAGCTAAATAAATTGTACATCATCTGACACAATAATAATTCATCTATGTTAAGAGACGTCCGAGCTATGGTCACACAAAATTGACCTTAAAAATCAGGCTTGGCAAAATTGTGCGAAATCAAAGAAACGTAAAATTGTCTTCGTGCGTGTATTCAGGAACCTCGGTATTGATTGATAGAATGACATACATTACATATCCAATGGATGGGGGATTTTGTATTTCAATAAACACATTTCTATGTTGATATTTTGCCTCGAAAGTTTCAAGCAAAGCAGAAAACAGAGCAATCATAAATAGATCTACCAAGCAAAACTTGGACTTAACTTTAAATTAAATGTTCTCACTGTTATTTAGCTAAGGAGTCATTATATTTGTTTTGTGCACAACCTCTTGGGAAATCGACTCTATTAAATTTTGGACATAATTATTTGTCATTTCATCCCGAACGTCACAGAGGGTTGCAAACATATTGTCTGAATTGGCAGCAGAGTCGCTTTTCATCGGCAACTGTTTCATGGTATATCTATTTCACTCTTCACATACCTGTAAGATTCACAACGGGGCTATTTAGTGGTGACCACTCTTACGTTGAATTGGTTTGGTTTTCCAAGAATTATCTAGTGGCATTGACCTTTTGAGAAACTCTTTGTTTTGCATTGAGATTTTTACTTGAATTATATCTTGACGAAAATTAGGGTAAGACATGACGTTCCAGCACTTGTGCGTTGTAGTTTACTAAACCAAGCCATCCGGTGAGTCTCATGAGGGCGGTTTATTCATTCCACCCCAGACCACCCAAAACCCTTACAGTTTCGTGGCCTCTGATCCTCACTGACAGATGATTTTGTCCAAAATCTAACTAACGCAGTCCATATGCAGCAAAAGGTTTCGTGTTTGATAGGAAAAAATTAGCTACTAAACAAAAACGAAATTAAAACTAATAAGCGCATGTTATGTCAAGTCCAGGTTTTGTGTGGTTTTTGTGACTGCGCTGTTCTCCAATCTATGTGAAAATATCCTCAGAAGATGCTGTTCATTGCAGAGAGAATAATATTCTCTTTTCATTTGATATTCAATACAATGACATGTCCATTCCACTAATATTGATGCATTTCAATATACACGTGAAAACAATTTTGCGTTTCTCTGATTTCGCACAGTTTTACCAAGCCGTTAAGGTCAATTTTGAGCGACCACATCTCGGGCGTCTCTTATCATAGATGAAATATTTAAGTGTCAGATGATGCAGAATTTATTCAGCTTTATATTGGAATACTGCATGAGCAAGCCTATAACAGGATGGTTGGGTGATTTTTATCTTCCAGGTTTTTTTTTGACGCCACTATATGACCTAATTATTTTGCAATTGCCGTAAACTGTACTAAAACAAAAGGACAGTTTGTGTTGAGGGATCAAACTATAGCCACGTGAGTTGTTGTCCAACGCAGTATTATTGAGCCTCAGTGTGAATATGTAATAACTACCCTTCTATTGTGCCCAAAAGGAGGGTTCGAACTAAGGCCACACAAAGCTCAGTCCAACACAGTATATAACTAAGCTAACGTCATGTTATTTGTGTCCGATTGGTCATAAACCCCAGTGAAAAGCTTAGACATAACAAACCATCAAAGTAATTTAGTCCCCTTTAGTACTATAAAGAGGCATGATTAGTTGAAAAGTAGACTGCTAATTTGTCAGTTGATGGGTTTGAGGCGAGGCAAGCTTATTTACAGACTCGCCTCGGTTTGAGAGTACGGTTCAGGTGGCAGATTATTGGGAGGCATAGCGAGAGAGGGTTTCCCCGCAGTGGTAGTTTTGAGAAATTTTTATGGGGATGAATGTGAATATTTATTTACTCCTTGGTGAGTATGTGTGTGTGTGTGTGTGTGTGTGTGTGTGTGTGTGTGTGTGTGTGTGTGTGTGTGTGTGAGTGTGTGTGTGTGTGGTGTGTGTGTGTGTGTGTGTGTGTGTGTGTGTGTGTGTGTGTGTGTGTGAGTATCCGTAAAAGTGGGAAGAAAGAGAGAAAGTTGAGTCGCACGTGCTCATGAATTACTGACTGCGAGCACCGTAAAACTTTACTGGAGACTTTTTTTAAAAAAGGTATATGTACCACTTTTTGATTGTGTATAAAATCCAAAGGTCATTTTATAAAAATACCATTTTTGTGCCTCAAACGGTGTTTGCAGCACCAAAGTTTAGAAATAGAAAACTGGCATTTTTTCCCTTCCACATGGCAGATTTAATAAAATTCTTTCTTTTTAACTCTAAGTTTAGGTCTTTGTTTATCAAAATCCGCGATAAAATGTAATCCTTTTCATCTAAGAAACAGTAGGTTTATGTTTATGCTGGTTGCATCAGAAAAGTCGATTGATCGGCACTCTCCGCGTGTTTCTGCTGTTGCCAGGCCATTCAACATCAGCTCATCTGTTGACGTAGAATGTTCTGGCCTTTTGTGTGTTAATCTTAGACTGTCCTGAAGTGCAGGCTTATGAGCAGTGCAGTATCATTATTTATCTGTTACCTCCCTAATACCACAAATAATTATAACACTGAAATTGTAAAACAGCCAGAACAGCTCAACTCTCATGTTGTACTGCTCCTCAGACCCCTAACCCGGACTACTGGAAGAACACAGAGAAACCGCCCACGTCGTCACGTGACTTCGTGGAGTCGTCTGCTGCCCTGGAAGCTTTTCGCGCATGGGCAGAGGGCCAGGGGACGGACCTTCCGCCCAGCGACCACGTCATGCTTTTCACGGGGTGAGAGACGGACTTTGGCTTGTTTAACATTCTGTTTTAAAACTTTCTGTCTGTCTGTGGGCTTTTGTTGGTCGGTCTGTTTGGGGTTGTTGGTTTTTTTGTTGTTTTTGTTTTGTTTTGGGGGGGGGGTCCACCTACCTATGTGTATATGTCTTTTTCTGTCTGTCTTTTTGTCAGTCTGCCTCTCTGTGTGTGTCTCTGTCTGTCTGTTTCTTTGCACGGCAGTTTGTGTATTTTGTCTCTTACAAAAGAATTTTTAAAAATATTTTTTTTTAACGTATAACGTAACCAGATGGTTGGCGGGTGCTCTGGTTTGCTCCTTCAATCATCCATCATCCTTTTCTCTAGCTCTCCTCCTTTTCTTTCTTGTGTTTGTTATTCTCTTGTAACGCCTCTAATCTTCGAAACTTATAAAACCAAATTGTGTCGTAAAACTTTGACGAAAACAAGCCTAGCTGTTTGCACGTGTCTCTTCTGTCTATTTCATTGTATGAAAGTCTTTATTATTTGTCTAATACAAAATGCGTAAAACAGAAGAAAAAAATACCGTATGGACTATAATACTGAAACGGAATGCATACTTTTCTTTAAAATAAGATATACATGAACGAACGAATAAAAGAAATAATGAATGAATGAATAAATGAATGAATGGATGAATGAATGAATGAATGAATGAATGAATGAATGAATGAATGAAAGAATGAGTGCATAAATGAATGAATGAATAAATGAATGAACCTTTATTGACATCTGGGGAGAAAAAAAAATTACATTGTTATGTTTATGGGTCGTCAACACGTTTTTCATTACGTATCCTTTCTCTCTCTCTCTCTGTGTCTCTCTCTGTCTCTCTCTCTGTTTGTCTGTCTGTCTGTCTGTCTCTGTCTCTCTCTCTCTCTCTCTCTCTTAGTCTCTTTCTCTCTTTCTCTCTCTCACTTTCACTCTCACTCTCTCGCTCCATCTCTCTCTCACTCTCATCATCACTCTCTCGCTCTTTCTCTATCTCTCTCTCTCACTCTCACTATCTATTTTTCTCTTTCTTACACACACACACACACACACACACACACACACACACACACACACACACACACACACACACACACACACACACACACGCACGCATTCCTATTAAACATATTTTGTCTTTATCTCCCCTCCTTCTTTTTTGTGTTTGTTACTCCCTTGAAACACCTCTTATCTTCGGCACTTATATTCTATATGACCTTATTGTGTTGCAAGTGTCGAAAAACTCTTACGAAAAACAAACAAACAACTAACCCTGAAGAAGCCTTAATGTATTCCCTCCACAGTCACAATCTAACCTACGGTGGCTCAGTCTCAAATGCAGGTAAGGACCCGAAGGTGACACCTTACTAATAATCTTATTCTACATTTTTTTTAAAAATTATTCTTTTTACATTGTAATGTATTCCATAACTCTCACGGTTTCTTTGGGACACCACTGATATATAGGGCCAAGATCACCTCTTCCTCTCGCTTGTTCCTAAGTTTTTGCTGAAGACACCACACGTTTGGGGAGGTGGAAACCTCGTTTTGGAGTTGAATGTTCTATCTCACACTCCCGACAGTATGATATTGCATTGCGGAGTTAACACTGTGTTTTGATCTATACAGGGTGGTTCCCTAAAAAATCTGTGGCAGTATATTGTGTGTGTGTGTTTGTTTGTGTGTGTGTGTTTGTTTGTGTGTGTGTGTGTGTGTGTGTGTGTGTGTGTGTGCGTGCGTGCGCGAGCTGTGTGTTTTATATATATATGAGTGCTTTGTGTTTGGGCGTATGACAGTGCGTGCCTGCGTGTGTGTGTGTGTGTGTGTGTGTGTGTGTGTGTGTGTGTGTTTTGTATGAGCATGTTTTGTTTTTGTTTGTGCGTGTGTGTGTAGTGTGTATGTGTGTGTGTGTGTGTGTGTGTGTGTGTGTGTGTGTGTGTGTGTGTGTTTGTGTGTGCGTGAGTGAGTGGAATACAAGTTATTTCAGTTATTGAAATGCCATAAAATAGTTTATTATCTGCGTTTGATATATCGTATTTATAAATGTGATATGTTTGAAACTATAGGTCTTGTTGGCATGCACTCTGGTGTGGTTTGCTCCTCCTTTCCCATTAAATATACAAATAAAACCTCATTACATATCTGATTCTTCATCTTTTCTTGTATGATACCCTCTAAAAACACCTTGATCTTCATCAGTTATACGAGTCTGACCTATCTGTGTTGCAAGTGCCGTATAAAAGTCTTAAGAATTCACTGAAAATGTAAAAACTGATACATGTACTAACATCAATCGCAGGTCTCGCCTACCTGGGCTCTGCCTGCAACTCGGACTACTTCTTTTCCATCGTGGAGGAATACTTCGAGTTCCGGGACGTTGCCATAGCAGCGCACGAGCTGGGTCACAGGTAATAGCTGGATGATGTAATGCATTACTCATTCAATTTGTTAAGTGAGATTATCGAACGAGATACATACTGGCGTGCTTTGCTGTCGCGCGCAGAGCTAGGTGATCGAAGGTAGATCTTGGAGTGGGGATAACATTTTTAAAATTTTAATCGAGTATCTCAGTCCTTTTGCCGGGATTTCGAGTCCTTCTCATCCCGGATTGACCCTGACTGGTATGGTCGGAGTCCTGCTTCCTAAATTATGTAAATAGCGACGATGGGGGTGGGGGATGGAAAAACACTCACATTTAAAAGAGAGAGAGAGAGAGAGAGAGAGAGAGAGAGAGAGAGAGAGAGAGAGAGAGAGAGAGAGAGAGAGAGAGAGAGAGAGAGAGAGAGAGAGAGAGAGAGAGAGAGAGATACATGAACCATAAATATTTTTGCTTTGAATTTTTTTTCAATGTCCCCCCCCCCACACCCCCAATCACATAAAAATTTGGTTTTTTTAGCCTTTAAATATCGCATTATTTTTAGAGATGGAAATAAAGCAATCCAACGTCCAGCTCGAAGCTTGTATTTGCCTGTGTGGTGAAACAACACACCAATATGCCAGCTTCTAGACAAAAAAATAAAAGAGATTTATCAGATCTTGTCACATCTAATCTTATCTTATCTTATCTAATCTAATCTTACTTTATCTTATTTTCGTTCCAACCTTATATTTTTTTTCTCCGAACGTCTTTACTCCCGGTGAATTTCTTTGATTTCGAGATAACCAGCGGAATTCGCCGAAGATAAGTTTCTATTCAATTTTAGTTTGATAGAAGTTTCACAGCGCTCACAACTGTGTAATTTTAAGTACTTTTGAGTCTGACTTTTTTTCTTTTGTTTTCTCTCAGTTTGGGAGCTCGTCATGACATGGACGGGAACACATGCCTGTCCTTTGACCGCTACATTATGACGTCACGGTTCAAGTTCCCCTCCCGGCGTAAGGCCCAGAACCCGTGGCTGTTCTCTCAGTGCTCTGTGGACTACTTCAAGGATTTTATTGATGGACTCGACAAGTTGGTGCATTTGTTTTTGTTGTTGTTGCTGTTGTTGTGGCTGTTGTTGTTGTTGTTAGTGATGGTGTGGCTGTTGTTGTTGCTGCTGTTATTGTTGTTGTCGCTTTTGTAAATGTTGAAGTTCGTTGTTGCTGTTGTACCGATGTAGTTTTGTTGTTATTGTTTTTTTCTGGTTTCGGAAATGATTTGCTCTTTTAGAACATCATAAAAATAAAATTGTCCTCCTTTTTTGACGGTTGGGGGGGGGGGGTGTCCCATTCATTCAATCATACAGTCACTAAACTCCAACGAATTTTAGGTGATTTCAAAGACGATTTCTTCCAGTTCTGCGTCTGGGAACTAAGTAGAAAGAAGTTGATCTTGAAAAAAACAGAATTTTTTTTTTTTTTAATTAGTTGGATTCAATTTGCACACTTCTGAAAAACACATTACGGTCCTAGACTTGCTGTAGTAGGCATCAAGGCGAAATAGTCCTGTAACTGCACGTTAAGTATGGTTTCTGTAACATCACGTTCACGTCAAATGGTCCTGTTACATCAAATGTGCATCAAATGTCCTGTAACATCACATGGGTGTCAAAATATCCTGTAACATCACATTCACGTCAAATATCCTGTAACATCAGATGTGCGTCAAATGTCCTGTAACTTCAGATGTGCGTCAAATGTCCTGTAACATCAGATGTGCGTCAAATGTCCTGTAACATCAGATGTGCGTCAAATGTCCTGTATCATCAGATGTACGTCAAATGTCCTGTAACATCAGATGTGCGTCAAATGTCCTGTAACATCACATTCTCGTAAAATATCCTGTAAAATCAGATGGGCGTCAAATGTTCTGTAAAATCAGATGTACGTCAAATGTCCGGTAACATCAGATGTACGTCAAATGTCCTGTAACATCAAATGTACGTCAAATGTCCTGTAACATCACATTCACCGTAAATTGTCCTGTAACATCGCGTGCACGTCAAATGGTCTAGCATCTGCGTGTGTTGCCATTTTCTGTTCCAAAATTGCCAAAAGTTGCCACAAAAATGGCAAAAGCCCAAAAGTTGCCATAAAAGTTGCCATTAATTTTCAAGCTTTCATCTCTCTGTGATGACGTATATAGCAATGTGTTGATAGAGGTAACTTAATCTAAAGCACCAGCATTTCTTGGGCTCTGTTTTATGCATCCAGAATATCATTTGTAGCCACACAGAGTGTAAAAACTTGAAAAATACAGGTTTCACAAATGAATGAAATCAAAACTAGAATAGCACATAAACAACAAAAATTAACAAAGGGCGTGTGTCCATCTTTCCGAAGATTGGCCGTTTTTATAAACCCTAAACGAGTGTAATTCAAGAAAAAGTACAGGATATTTTTAACATGTAAATTATGGAATCACAGTATTCGGTTTTTGGTGGAGACACACTCTATCATAACTAGAACACATGTATATATATTTAAAAATGTAGGAACAACATCACATTAAATAACATTGTGCTGTATACACAGAAAATAGAAAAGCAACACATCAGAACAATTTTTTTATTATAAATGAACACACCAACAAATTAAAACGCAACAAAGGAAAAAAATAAAAGACAAACGGCAAACAGCAATGTATAGTAGTATGTACCTACATTCTTCGCATGAACAGATCTATACATGGACACCTTAAAATTATCAAAATACATATCTAATATTGTTACATGTATGAAGTAGCTTTTTTTGTTTAAAAATGCCAAAAATCGCGGCCGCGATTCGCGGGTCGCGGCTGCGACAAACGCAGATGCTAGAATGGTCCTGTAACATCATATGTACGTCAAATTTCCTGTAACATTGCATGTACGCCATGACTGGTCCTGTAACTTCACGTATATGTCAAATGTCCTGTAACATCACATGTGCGTCACATATATCATTCTGCTTCTGTGGGAAGAGGATGCAGCCCTATAAGTTCTACCGTCTAGATGCAGCCTAAACATTTTTTTTACCAACTTTTCCACCGCGTGCTATCCTGTCAGGTACGCCAGCGTCTGAGGTGTAGTGGTCAGGCAATTGCCTCTTGCACACAGGAGACCTAAGTTCGATTCCCGAATGGGGAGAAATTTCGAATCAGATATCTCGGTCTTTCTATTAGGATATTTGTTTCCTTCTCAATCTGGGTTGGCCCTGACAGGCAGGGTCGGAAGCCTGCTTTCTAACTAATCGAAATTATATCAATGGGTGCGTAAATAACACCTGCAATTCACAAATACCAATTTTGCCAGGAACGACACAAACTGTCTGGTAACGAAGAACGCGGAACGAAGTACCCAGGAGATCCAGCCATTCCTGGTTTCTCAGCCGGGAGAGGTTTATGCCGGGGACGAGTTCTGCCGGCTTGGCGATGGACAAGATTCCTTCATTTGTCGGGTAAGACCTTGCGTCGAATTAGATCTAATAATAATAATTCTACATCCTCCAAATATTTCAAAATACTTTGATAAACCTGCTAGATCGTTGGAGGCAGCCACGTCTATGATATTTATCAATGATGCATGTATGTATTGTCTACAATATATTTATAGTTTATCCACCCGCACCTCCCCC